GGGCAAAAGAGTCCGGCATTGCTAGATTACCCTCATGGTTCCTTCCAACGTCACAGTTCTGTGATTCTATACTATTGGCAGAAATTCAGGAAGATAATTTCTTCTGAGACCTTCGCTTCATGACATTTCACTTCATTTTTTAAATTTCATGACGACACAGAAAGTCCCAAGGAGCTGTCAATCATTTTTTCAGGTCTTCTACTTTGAAACATTGCTAGGGATCTTCAGCCTATAATGCAGTGGTGGATGGCTTGGCGAGGTTCATGTGGTGCAAACACATTGACAGAAACGCCAGGTTGGTTCCGCTGATGCATTTGCCCCTCTCCCTCCCAGTAAGCAGCAACTATGCAACAGGCCGGAGGTCAGGTGAGCCTTGGCAGCCTACCATGACATCTGCTGCTGTGTGTTTGTTGTTGTCTAGTCGTCTAGTTGTGTCCGACTCTTCGTGACTCCATGGGCCAGAGCACGCCAGGCACTCCTGTCTTCCACTGCCTCCCGCAGCTTGGTCAAACTCATGCTGGTAGTTTCAAGAACACTGTCTAGCCATCTCGTCCTGTCGTCCCTTTCTCCTTGTGCCCTCCATCTTTCCTAACATCAGGGTCTTTTGCAGGGAGTCTTCTCTTCTCATGAGGTGGCCAAAGTATTGGAGCCTCAGCTTCACGATCTGTCCTTCCAGTGAGCACTCAGGGCTGATTTCCTTCAGAATGGAGAGGTTTGATCTTCTTGCAGTCCATGGGACTCTCAAGAGTCTCCTCCAGCACTATAATTCAAAAGCATCAATTCTTTGGTGATCAGCCTTATTTATGGTCCAGCTCTCATTTCCATACAAAAACAATAGGCTGCTGTGTGTATGTATTTATTATTTGTATAATTTATTCGTTGTCAACTGGGTAGCTCAGTTGCTTAGAGAGTGCTGCTGATAACGCCAAGGTTGCAAGTTCGATCCCCTTATGGGACAGCTGCATATTCCTGCATTGCAGGGGGTTGGACTAGATGATCGCCAGGGTCCCTTCCAACTCTACCATTCTATGATCTAGGTCTGTAGATCTTCCTTCATCCTTCACCATTAAGTTTAGGTTGCCCAAAATGAGATGATAGAATGAGATTGCAGGACATCAAGGAAACTAGGTTAGGGCAGCTCTCTTCCCCTGATGTTCTGGTTTCCTGCACGTAGGGGCTTCGTACACAGCACCTGACTCCTCCAAAAAAGCTTGGGAACTGTGATTTACTCCCCACAGAGCTGCGATTCCCAGCACCCTTAACAAAGTGCAGTTTCCAGAATTCTTTGGGGAAAGCCATGTGCTTTAAATCTATGGTATGCAGTCTATGAGTACAGTGGTACCTGGGGTTACATACACTTCAGGTTACATATGCTTCAGGTTACAGACTCCGCTAACCCAGAAATAGTACCTCGGGTTAAGAACTTTGCTTCAGGATGAGAACAGAAATCGTGCTCTGGTGGCGCGGCAGTAGCGGGAGGCCTCATTAGCTAAAATGGTGCTTCAGGTTAAGAACAGTTTCAGGTTAAGAACGGACCTCTGGAACGAATTAAGTACTTAACCCGAGGTACCACTGTATTTTCTGTGGGTTGCCTTCAGGAACGAAAAGTGCCTACTCACCTGCAGTCTGAATAAGCACAGCTCAGCATTCTACAGGGTGATCTTGTGTAACATTTTGCAAATCACCCAAGTCCCAACACTGTAATTGCTAGACCACGTGGGCCTCCAGTGTCAGCTAAAGGTTCCCGGATGCTTCTCCTCTGTGCAGCCAGTGTTGCAATTTCCTCATGAGACGTGAGCAGTGGTCAGTACGTTTAGAAGACCCATTTGCATGACAATTACGTTCTGCCTTCCACCGTTCAGCATGTCATCATAACAATTAAAGGGTAGAATAGCGGAGGACCGGATTTTTTAAAAAACAGAAAAGTCACTGGAGCCTTTTATCTTGCTGGTCCGTGGTCGATGTTGTTTTTAACCATGCTGTTACGCAGTTCTTCCCACTCCCATGACTTAATTTTTAATGCAAGCTGGAAGACTGATCATATGGCCTTCATTATTTCTTCCTCAGCGGGAAACTTCCAAAGCAAGCAGCTGTGTATTGCCTTAAGTTAAATCGACTGTAAAGTGTGATTGCTCAAACTTGGTGTGTGTGATAAGCTTCTCTCCCAGAACATACGATTGGGCAGTTGAGTTATAGGTACTAAACTAGCTTCCTTAAAAAAAAGAAGTGTGCTTTATCTATGGCTAAAACAATTTTGTTAGTTGGCTCCTAAATTGTAACGTATATAATTCTCTTTGCTTTACTGGAATATATTGACTAGGAACCAAAAGCTATGCATCTGAGTGGGGCTGTGCATTTCTCAGCACCAAACCTCTCTCTTTTATTACACTGCCGAACACTTTTGAACTCCTAGGGAATTTCAAAAGCAATTTGTAAGGTGGCATGGGGACCTGCTATTCACTAAAAAAAGTTTTCTTTTAAAAATTCTCTGGGCATGACTAAAGTACATGTTTGGATACCAGCACTCAGTAATGTCTGCTGTCTCCAGCACCCAATAATTCACCTGTACTTGGAAAATAAATTTTGTTCCTTATGGAAAGCTTTCTTCTTCATGCTCCATTCTTTTGTAGTTGGGGATACTAAGAACCAGGGTTTATGAATGTTACTAAGGTTAGGATTTTGTGGAGGTCATATGGAGAATTGAACCCATGTAAAGCTAGAGTGAAGTCAGAAGACTGCTACATAGTGTGGCATCTTGGTCATGCAGTCCATGTGCTCTTGGACTTCAAGATTATGTCATTTTATACATAAGAGAAGAAACAGCGTTCAAAATTTGCCAGCCGCATTTTGCACCTGGCTATTGGCGTCTTGCGCCTGATGTCTCCTCCATCTGGAGGTGCATGCCTGGGGATACTTGGATCTTGACTGTTTTCACACAGTAGCAACACATCCTGTAGAGTTCTAGCCACTATATTTTATCTGCACGATCAGAATGTATTTCAGGAACCCAAAAGTCATATTGAAAAATACGACTTCTGAGCTGCCTGGCCCCAAAATGGCAACTTAGCATTCTGTTTTGGTGACTGTAACCCTAATTGAAGGAGCTGTTTGGTGCCTGGCTTTGTATATGTGAGTTTCTATCGCTGAGAAGAAATATTTAAGAAAGAGATGGCTCTCTGTTTGACTGTGTACAGTTATGAGGATGGTAAACAAAACTCTAAATGTAGTTGAAGGCTGTATGGACAGAATCTTCCAAAAGCAAAAGCGGCAGGGGGAGACGGTATTCCTCCATGAGATGGAAAACAAAGGTCTGTCTTCTTGGCCCGGAAGTCATACATATTTAGCAGGCTGTATGTAGACGATGAAAACGTGAGTCCAAGACTATCTAGGTGGCTTCAGTGAATGATCGTTGGGAGCTTCCACATGGGAGTTTATTGTGGACTCCATGCTGCTCAGGCCTGCAGCTTTTCACTGCTTCTCCACGATGTTGTCCTCCTCAAAATGCCATCCCAGATCGCCCCACCCCAGTTTAATCTGGCTTTACCGCTTCCACTTTAAAAAAATACATACATCAAGTTTTTCCTGCTCCAAAGGAAAATCCTGTGTGCCCATGGTGTACGTGCTTCGTGCCATGGCTGGCCCCAAAGGTCAGATAACTCTCCTCATGAGAAAGAAACCTTGTGAGGAGGAACCTTTTACTTCATGTTTTTGAATCAACGTGGCTGTGTTCAATTTGGGTTTTAAGCCAGGCTGTTTTGCAAAAGAGACAGTATTCAAAAATATCCCGTTTCTGAACCTATTGGGCATGCTTTGGTTCATCCATGGCTCTCATAGGTGTGGCATTGATGAAGGGGGGGCATCATCTCTCAAGAACAGTGTTTCTCAACCTGTGGGTCCCCAGATGTTGTTGGACTACAACTCCCATCATCCCTGAGCTCTGGCCTTACTAGTTAGGGATGATGGGCGTTGTAGTTCAACAACATCTTGGGACCCAAGCTTGAGAAAGGCTGATCAAGAATGTAACCAAGCAGGACAAAGGAAGAACCTGGCTGTTTCAATTCAGCTATGTGGATATGAAAGGTGACAACCCATTTGCGGTCACAGCTGAAGCACTGGTATCCCTTCTGAGGGAGACGTGGTGCTGCCCGAGGCAGTGGCTTCACCCTGTCTAATGGCTGGGCCCAGCCCTGCTGAGGTTCCCTGATCAGGATACAAATCAATCATTTGAGGAGCAGAGAGGGGGCAGCCATTTCTCCTCAGCTGAGGAAAAGAGGGTGGGCGGTCTGTAACTTGAACCAAGGATTGCAAACTGCCTTGCAGCCTTGGTCTTCAAACTCTGGTGTAAAGCTAACTATGAAGAGCATTAATCTGGTGCAGGTGCAAATGCGTACCATGGTTCATGATGAAAAGAGACACAGCAGAGAGATCGCATGAGAGGGACCCCCATGGGGGGTTCTGGCCTCTTCGTCAGCCCACCTTTGCATGGAAAAACAGAAACGTCAAACATACGTTTCCGAACACAGTTCAAAGTGTTAAAGCCCTAAATGGCCTCGGTCCTGTATACTTGAAGGAGCGTCTCCACCCCATCGTTCAACCTGGACACTGAGGTCCAGCGCTGAGGGCCTTCTGGCGGTTCCCTCACTGCGAGAAGTGAGGTTACAGGGAACCAGGCAGAGGGCCTTCTCGGTAGTGGCACCCGTCCTGTGGAACGCCCTCCCATCAGATGTGAAGGAAATAAGCAGCTATCTTATCTTTAAAAGACATCTGAAGGCACCCCTGTTTAGGGAATTTTTAATATTTAATGCTGTATTGTTTTTAACACTTGATTGGGAGCCGCCTAGAGTGGCTAGGGAAACTCAGCCAGATGGGCGGGGTATAAATAATAAATTATTATTATTATTACTAGAAGTAGTAGTAGTAGTACATGACAGGTTATTTGAGCTGCATTCCACTTACAGTGCAATTATTTAATAACAATGTTCTGGATTTAAAATTGGCAGGTTTCGCTCTTCGCTTAGATCTCTAGGAGACTTTGGAGAATTCCTGAAGAGGTAAGGTCACATCTGTCATCTGTCTGTCTGTCTGTGTATATTTATCTATCATCTATCTAATCTATCATCATCTCTCTATCTATTTTTGTTGGTTGCTTACTTCAGTACCTAGAAAGCTTTTGACCTCCACCACTTGTTTTAACTGGAATAGTTAGTCATCGCTATTTTGGAATCCCTGCTCTGGGAACTTTGAAAGTGCACAAAGACGTGAAAACTTTGATTTCTTGCTCCCTTCCTCGCCCCAGTTCTCTATTTCTCATGCTTTGCTTCCAGCTACTTTCACAGATTCCGTTCCGACTCGCTTCGTAGGGAATGCTGATGGGGTAGCTGTCATAAAGAAATTCACCCTTCCTCTTTCTGGCAGGAGGGGGAAACTGCTTCATTTTTGAGAAGTGGGAGAGAGAGAAAAATAACGTGAAGTGAAGTCGTCCTTAAAATTGGCATCGTAGTCAGCGGCTTACTTAAGGGCATCACTTGCCACATGCCTTGGGAAGACGTTGTCACAGCAGAGGCTGATGACTTTTGGTAACCCGAGGGGACGTAGAATCCTTTGATACTTGCAAAATAGCATACCATGTGCATGGTTAATCGTGCGCACAATTGGAACTGAGCTTCCATTGGACACCTTGCAAAACCGGAGTGGGGAAAGGGATCTGGCTGGTGGGCCCGATCCATATCTTCACCCCCCTCCCGTGGGCCAGTGCTGTCAATCATCTGATGTTGCAATGATGTCAGGTTTTCCCCCCACCTGTGCAGCACTTTGCGAGCGCTGGCAATTGACCGACTGTCCGCGCTGGGGAAGCCCTAGGGACAGTGCTTTTCCACCTCTGTCAGCTGATAGCTGGCAGTTCTGGAAGTTCTGCTCAAGCAGCAGCCGCTCAGCAGCATCTGAAAAGCCCCTTTCATCCAAGCCCTGCCCTTACCTGCCCCACACCTGACATCCTAGATGATGCTTAGTGTAAGGCAGATGGGCATGGCTTGGGGCAGATCTGGTGAACCTAATTGCACCTGTGGGCTGGAGATTCCTCATCCCTGTTGTAGGAAGATCAGTCTGCGTCTCTTAAATGGTGTTTTATATAAAGTAATTGTTTTATTGATTATTATTTGTTGATTATTTCATATGATTTGTGCTGCAATTGTGATGTTCTGTTAAGTATTTGTTATTTATTGCTTGTAAGCCGCTTTGGAGATTCATTTGAATGAAAAGCAGCTAGGGCCGGGTGATACAGTGGACGCTCGGGTTGCAAATGTGATCCGTGCGGGAGGCATGTTTGCAACCTGCAGTGCTGTGTCCGTGCACGCATGGGTCATGATTCAGCACTTCTGCACATGCGCAAAGCGCGATTTAGCACTTCTGCGTATGTGCAAGCACTGAAACCCGGAAGTAACCCGTTCTGATACTTCCGGGTTTGGTGCGGTGCGCAACCCAAAAACACGCAACCTGAAGCGTCTGTAACCCGAGGTATGACTGTATCTGCCTTTCCACATCATGATATATCAGTAGCTAGATGCTTCGATAGGCTGATATATCATGATGTCTGAAATGTATCCTGGCCGCTTCCTCCGCCGTAGAGGAGGAAGAAGCAGCCAAGATACATTGCCCAGCCCTATAGTGAGCAAGCCCTGATACCTCTCCGGTTCACGTGTGAGCCTGAGGGGCATTGGGGTTTTTGTTGTACTCTTCAGCTGGGGGGCGAGAAGCCTCCCGCCCCTCAGCTGAGTGAGCCCCCATACCGCTCTGGCTCATGTGAGCTGGAGGGGTGGGAGGCTCCCTCAAAGGCAGGCAGGTGGAGCCTGAAAGGTGCACACCCAGAACCTTCTCAGACTCCATCTGCAGGCAATTTGACCTGGCGCAATGTATTGCCCACTCAAGTGGTCTGAAACAGTATCGCGATCTGAATGCCATTTAAGCAATTTATCGACGTATCTCCCAGCTCTGAAAGCAGCACAGCGATACCATCAGTCAGATCAAATCAAATTGTAAGTCTGAGGTTAGTGTGCCGTTAACGTTCTGCAAGGGAAAGCAGGGAGCATTGAGGGCCTTCTCTGTAGTGGCACCCAGAATGTGGAAAACTTTCCTGAAAGAGGTTTGGTTGGCGCCCTCTCTCTTCAGTTTTAGGAGAGGCGGCGAAGACTTTGTTTATTCCACTGTGCTGTTAGGTTAAAATCCTGTACTTGCTTAGCTGAAGGTGGGCTCATTGACTTCAGTGGCGCTTCTTTTTTGAGTACGCATACACGGGATCACATGGGACACGGGTGGCGCTGTGGGTAAAAACCTCAGTGCCTAGGACCTGCCGATCGTATGGTTGGCGGTTCGAATCCCTGCGGCGGGGTGAGCTCCCATCTTCGGTCCCAGCTCCTGCCCACCTAGCAGTTCGAAAGCATAATTAAGTGCAAGTAGATAAATAGGTACCGCTTTATAGCGGGAAGGTAAACGGTGTTTCCGTGTGCTGCGCTGGTGCCGGCTCGCCAGAGCAGCTTCGTCACGCTGGCCACGTGACCCGGAAGTGTCTCCGGACAGCGCTGGCCCCCGGCCTCTTAAGTGAGATGGGCACACAACCCTAGAGTCGGACACGACTGGCCCGTACGGGCAGGGGTACCTTTACCTTTACCTTTACCTTTACATGGGATCGCACAGTGAATATCTTTTCAACCTCCTGCTTTGACCATGTATTTTGAAGCTGACATGGTTATTTTATGCCTCACCCAAACTGCTATCTTAATAATATGCACTGCAGTCCTAGACATGTAATTCCCACTGAGTTCAAGGATGCTTTGCTCAGTTAAGACCTGGAGCCTTCATGGATGCATTGAATTCCCCCCTCATTTATCTTTGTTTGTTTTTGTGTGTGTGTTTTAAATATGGGAACTGCCTCAGGGGCTGAAAGAAGAGGCTGAAATGTCCCGAAACGGAACTAAATAAATAATATAATCGCAACATTCATCGTACCACCCTAACTGCAGCACTGAGTTTATTCTGCTCCCAAGGGAAGGCTGAGTAGTGTCTGAATCTGTTCGTCTGTGAGGCGTCTGACATGCAGAGTATCTGAATTATAGGCTGAATGGTTTGGCCCGGCCTTCGGAAAAGTTGTGGAAATGGCTTTTTATGATTGCTTTTCACACCCACTTACACGCAGATGAGGAGCAGCCTTAAAAAATGCTGGTCACTCAGAGTTATGTGCACAATATATTTACCCCCATATACAGTTTTTGATGTCTCTGAGGTCACTCAGAGAGCAGGTTACATGGCAAATCATGTAACAATTGTGTTTTGGTTTTTAGAGCAAAATAACACAGGTGTCTGCAGATGGATGCCATAAGAGGATGACTAAGACAAGTTGAAATGAAGTGTCACTTTAAAAGTATCGCTGTACTTTGGTTTCTGATTAAATGGGACATGCCTACTGTTGGTAGACTGTAATTGCTGCTTTAAATGTGCAGCTCTAATTCAATTGACGGGAGTCCCAAAGATGCACTTGGTTAGATAGAAATAATACTAAAACCTACATAATGTCGGAGAAGTAGGTACTAAGGGACATAGTGACTGCAGGTCACTAAACATTGTTACCTGTGAGTAAGTTGCATTGAATCCGGAGCTCTTTACATTGTTAATGTAGTTGGGTTTTTTTGTTTGCTTGTTTCAAGTGGCTAGGAATATAGGTGAGATATTGTGATATGAGATTTAGGTTTTGTGTTCTGTGCCTTGGCCTCTCTCTAAGCCAACATTGTATTTGGGCTGGGCAGTATATCACCAGCTAAACATTGTGATATACATATATCTATATATCTATATATATAGGCTGGGGAGGGCGGGGTATAAATAAAATTATTATTATTATTATTATTATTGTCTGAAATGAGGATGGAGCTCTGTAGAGGCATTGGCTGGCTTCACACTTTTCCCCACGTTGTGAGTTTTTTGCACAGCACACAGGCACATCGTGATTCACAATATATTGCCAGATCAAAAACTGCGAAGCCTATATCACAATATGGACTTCAAACTGGTTTGGGACAATATATCGATATATTGCCCTGCCCTAGGTAAAGGGACCCCTGACAGTTAAGTCCAGTCGCAAATGACTCTGGGGTTGCGGCGCTCATCTCGCTTTACAGGCTGAGGGAGCCGGCATTTGTCCGTTTCCACAGACAGTTTTTCTGGGTCATGTGGCCAGCATGACGAAGCCGCTTCTGGTGAACCAGAGCAGCTCACGGAAACACCATTTACCTTCCTGCCGGAGCGGTGCCTATTTATCTGCTTGCACTCTGACATGCTTTCGAACTGCTAGGTGGGCAGGAGCTGGGACCAAACAATGGGAGCTCACCCCGTCGCGGGGCCTCGAACCGCCGACCTTCCGATCGGCAAGTCCAAGCGGCATAGGGGTTTAAACCACAGAGCCACCCGTGTCCCATTGCCCTGCCCTATTTGGTGTTAAATGTGAGAATGTTCTTCTGAGCCTTTCTCACTCTCTACCCATATATGTTATGCTTCCTTACGTTCGATGAACGTTGACATTGCAGTCCCTTTTTATTGACTGTTAGCAGTTAGGACTTTAAGAACAAAGAAGAAAGTCAAAACTGTGACGCTAAAGGAGAAATTGCTTGAGCAGGGTTTGTGTACATGTAAACCTCAAGTATCGCATAAGATGATTACTGACTCCCTGATTCCATTGTTGCAGATTACCGAACCAGATTCAAGACAAACACATTTCCAGGTAAGAAATTATTCGGTGTATCAAATGCTTTTTTACGTAGCATACTGATTAATATTTTTAGGTCTGTTTTGTAAATCTAGCATTGTGTGTTTCATTTATATATAAATACACTTGTCCACGGGCTAAAGTTCTGTAGGGACCTAATCACACGAGGAGCGCTACATAATTATGACTTCAACCAAAGGGAATGCCAGAAGCCATGGTACCCTTTCAGTTTGTTGGAGCCTTGGGTGCTCCTCAGAACCACCAAAAATTCATTTTTAAGTTAGGAGGAGAATGTACATTTACACAACACATAGCCTATTCAGTGTTCTTATAGAGCCGTTTTGAGCAGGTTATCTTGGGCCCGGGGAAAATTGTAGCTGGTGAAGCAGCAAAAAACCAGTAGAAAGACACTTTCAGCCCCTGAGGCCTCTTGGTCTTCTAGAGATGGGAGTTGCATCCAGGAGTATCCTTGGACTATGAAACTGGTGTGAAGACCCATCCAGAACAGGCGACAGATGTATATCCTAGACCTAGACACAGGGGTTTTATCTTGCCAGAATTAAGTCTCAGTTTATTGGCGCTCATTCATCTGGACCCTGGTCCAGAACTTATAGGGCCACACCTGATTCAGATTTAATGGAGAAATAGACATAATTGTAAGACTAGTAACTGGACATTTGTCTCCAATGAGATAACAGTATTATCATGCTGTGCCATCCATAAAAAATAGGTAGTCCCATTTATCCTTATTTTCAAAAGTTATCCCTTTATTTTCAGAGCATCAGTATTCTCAGATGTTAGGGGTGCCTCTCATTTCCATATTGTATAATGGCTGCCTTTATCTCAGACAGCGCAGCTTCAAATGAACCCTTATTTGTTGACATTTTGATTTGGCAATGCTCATTGTTTGAGTACCACTGCAGTGATGCACATTGGAGACCCTCGGGCAAAGGGTTCTGTCTGCAGGGAAGCATTTTGCTTGTAGGCTGTTGGAGAACTAGCCTATATGGTACATTAAAAGAAGCAGATGAGCCAGAGACCGGTCTGTTTTTCCTGTGTAGCAGGAACAAATCTGGATGCTTACTATTGCAGGACATGTTGCCAGAAATGGACTTGGAGCCACACCCAGGCAAAGTTAAAAAACAGGATGCTGTTCCGTAGTGTGCGAACAGCATCTGGAAATAGCATAGACCTGATGCTTCTTTCAGGGGGATGGAGAACAGTTTTGCTTATAAGTAGATAAATGTCCACTGTGGTATTTTTAGAAAGGCTCTCTTAATACTGAGTAGTGGACTCTCTTGAATACCGCAGTTATAAAATGTCACTCAGACATTCAGCTAGTGAAAAAAATGACTTTTCCTTCTGTGAATCTCCCCCGCCCCTGTGCATAACAGTAAACAATTTTTAGGGTGGTTTTGGGGGGGTTTTTTTGGCTGTATACTGTTCCATTTGCACTGAAGACATCTCTGGGTTTTTAGTTTGTGAGCATTTTAGGTGAGCTCTGAAAGCCTTTTGCTAAATAGCAGTGATAATTAAGAAGATGAAAAGCAGAAATTTTAATGATCTCCATTTCCTATAACTATTAGTAGAAGCAGTTGCCGCCATCATCACAGTTGTTTTAAGAACCTGAACTGTCACAGTACAATAAAATAACTCTGTATTCTAAAGCCCTTGGTCCTCCCTCAGAAAGCTATAGCCGCCAGACCCCTACTTAAATGGTTTTCCACCCACCCAAGAACCCCAGCACTGGAATTTCCAAAGCATGTGTGACACAACTAACAAAATTTTTGGGTGGAGGGAGCAGAAGAGCGAAAATGATGTTACTCTTTTCTCAAGAAATGTAATGCCAGACAACAGTGATAGCAAATTATCTGCTGGAACTAATAGGCAGCAGTGAAAAAATTAAGAAAGCCAGAGAGAACTTTGTAAATAAAGTTTTCCATAATTCAAAAATCTAATAAAGCCCAAAAACATGGAAGTAAAAAGTACTTCAGAAGGTTTTAGACAGAACTACAGATTAATGCTGGCAATAAAGATCAGCACTCGGATCTTAATTTCTTTTAAGCTGCTGGTTTCTTCTGTAGATCTAAAATAATCTCAGGAATTTATGATTTGAGGTGCCCGAGCTTTTATAGTCAGCTCCAACTGTTCATGACATTAGCACTGTGGTTTTTTTTTTGTTTTTTGTTTGCCAGTTGGTGTGAAATGCAACAGATAAGAGGGGCCATTCATCTACTGCAGCCTTAAAAGCTTGAATGTGTGCCCTGAAAACAAATGCCACACAGATTTAATAAGCTTGTGACTTGTGTGGAGGAATCAGGCATGAGGCAAACATTCTCCCCTTTGGTCGCCAGCTATTTGCTGCTTACTGATTCTTGGGTCGTGTCACCTGATTGTAATGGGGGCAGCGTCTTGTGATGCAATCCTGAGCAAAGCATCAAAAAGACTCCCCCATTATTGGCAAGGGCAGTCATTGGCAGCATCCCTTCATTCATAACGTAAACATGGGAGCTGTGCACTTAATACCTTGATATTTCCTTGATTCACAGCGACAGATTATTGATTCATTTTGCTGTGTCGTAAAAAGAACCCCAGCATTAACATTTTATCAATTTTTAAAATATTGAATAAAACATGAGAACTAGAAATGCATGTGGACTTGCCATCATTTTATCTATCAGCTATCATCTGTCTATCTATCATCTGTCTATCTATCATCTATCATCTCTATCTATCATCTATATCTCTATCTATCTATCTATCTATCATCTATCTATCTATCTATCTATCTATCATCTATCATCTATCATCTATCTATCTATCTATCATCTATCTATATCTATCATCTATCTATATCTATCTATATCTATATCTATCTATCTATCTATCTATCTATCTATATCATCTATCTATCATCTATCATCTATCTATCATCTATATCTATCTATCTATCTATCTATCTATCTATCTATCTATCTATCTATCTATCATCTATCATCTATCATCTACCATCATCTATCTATCATCTATCCATCTACCTATCTATCTATCTATCATCTATCATCTATCTCTATCATCTATCTATCTATCATCTAATCTATGTATCTATCATCTATCTATCTACCTATTTATCATCTATCTATCATCTATCTATCAATCAATCAATCAATCAATCATCTCTCTCTCTCTATCTCTCTATCTCTCTCTCTATCTATCTATCATCTATCTATCTCTACCTAGCTATCTATCATCTATCTACAGTGGTGCCTCGCAAGACGAAAAGAATCCGTTCCGCGATTCTTTTCTTCTAGCGTTTTTTTTGTCTTGCGAAGCAACCCCATTGGCGGCTTAGTGGATTAGTGCTATTAGCGATTTAGCGCTATTAGCGGCTTAGCGGGCTTAGCGGCTAAGCTGTTAAAAGGCTGTTAACATCTTAGCCGCTTTGAAAAAGGGGGGGAAAAGCAGGGGGGAAATGGCGAGACTCGCAAGACGTTTCCGTCTTGCGAAGCAAGCCCATAGGGAACTTCGTCTTGCGAAGCGCCTCCGAAACGGAAAACCCTTTCGTCTAGCGGGTTTTCCGTCTTGCGAGGCATTCGTCTTGCGGGGCACCACTGTATCTATCTATCATCTATCTATCTACCATCTATCATCTATCTATCATCTATCTATCGTATCTATCATCTATCTATCTATCATCATCTATCTATCTATCATCTATCTATCATCTATCTATCTATCTATCTATCTATCATCTATCTATCTATCATCTATCTCTATCATCTATCATCTATCTTATCTATCTATCTATATCTATCATCTATCTATCATCTATCTATCTATCTATCTATCTATCTATCATCTATCTATCTATCTATCATCTATCTATCTATCATCTATCTCTATCATCTATCATCTATCTTATCTATCTATCTATATCTATCATCTATCTATCATCTATCTATCATCTATCTATCTATCTATCTATCTATCCATCTATCATCTATCTATCTATCTATCTATCATCTATCTATCTATCTATCATCTATCATCTATCATCTATCATCTATCATCTCTATCTATCTATCTATCTATCTATCATCTATCATCATCTATCTATCTATCTATCTATCTATCTATCTATCTATATCTATCTATCTATCATCTATCTATCTATCTATAATCTATCTATCATCTGTCATCTATCTATCTGTCTATCTATCTATCATCTTCACAGCTATTATTCAACCTTCCAATTACACTCATAAGGCCTGGGTTTAAAACATAGTTGCTTCTCTTTGTCAAAAAGCTCTGGAATTTCCTTTGTGTTTGCTGTGCATTATGGGCACTACATTTTTTCCTTGTCATAACTGAATTAATTCCAAAAGTCTTTGGCTGAGTCCTGCTGATCCTTGTACAAAACACAGCCTGCTATAGATCGCTACCTACAGTGAGAGGTATTGGCTATCCTGCCTACCTACATTTTTGAGAATGCAAGTATCTGCAATGCGCTTTTTGCCCCGCTTCCGTTTTGCTCTTCGGAAGGCAAATACTGCCACTTAGTGGATGACTCCTCTAACTGCAGTATCTTCAAAAGATAAATGGAAGGCCTGTTGCTGATCGGCATGTTTGGCTTTGGTTGCCAAAGTTCTTCAATTAAATGACTTTGCCCAACATGTCCATATTGAATTTCTATGTTGTTATAAAGAAACTCATAGAATCATAGAGTTGGAAAGGACCCCCAAGGGCCATCTAGTAAAAAGTGGGCAAAGGACCCCTGGATGGTTAAGTCCAATCAAAAGCAACTATGGGGTTGCAGCGCTCATCTCGCTTTCAGGTCGAGGGAGCCGGCGCTTTCCAGGTCATGTGGCCAGCATGACTAAGCTGCTTCTGGCGCAATGGGACACCGTGACAGAAACCAGAGCACATGGAAACGCTGTTTACCTTCCTACCACAGAGGTACCTATTTATCTACTTGCGCTGGTATGCTTTTGAACTGCTAGGTTGGCAGGAGCTGG